AAGTGTTATAAGAAGAGCAGAGTATATGGAGAGTAAAAGAAAGGTGAAGAGAGTGGTGAGAGAGTGCAAAAGGAGAGCAGATGAAAGAGTGGGAGAGGCACTGTCAAGAAATTTTTATGAAAATAAGAAAAAATTTTGGAGTGAGTTAAACAAGTTAAGAAAGCCTAGGGAAAGTATGGATTTGTCAGTTAAAAACAGAGTAGGGGAGTTAGTAGATGGGGAGAGGGAGGTATTAGGTAGATGGCGAGAATATTTTGAGGAACTTTTAAATGTTAAGGAAGAAAGGGAGGCGGTAATTTCATGCACTGGCCAGGGAGGTATACCATCTTTTAGGAGTGAAGAAGAGCAGAATGTAAGTGTGGTGGAGGTACGTGAGGCATTACGTAGAATGAAAGGGGGTAAAGCAGCTGGAACTGATGGGATCATGACAGAAATGTTAAAAGCAGGGGGGGATATAGTGTTGGAGTGGTTGGTACTTTTGTTTAATAAATGTATGAAAGAGGGGAAGGTACCTAGGGATTGGCGGAGAGCATGTATAGTCCCTTTATATAAAGGGAAAGGGGACAAAAGAGATTGTAAAAATTATAGAGGAATAAGTTTACTGAGTATACCAGGAAAAGTATACGGTAGGGTTATAATTGAAAGAATTAGAGGTAAGACAGAATGTAGAATTGCGGACGAGCAAGGAGGCTTCAGAGTGGGTAGGGGATGAGTAGATCAAGTGTTTACATTGAAACATATATTCTTCTTCTTTCAACGTACCAGCCGTATCCCACTGAGGTGGGGTGGCCCAAAAGAAAAAACTGAAGTTTCTCCTTTTAAATTTAGTAATATATACAGGAGAAGGGGTTACTAGCCCCTTGCTCCCGGCATTTTAGTCGCCTCTTACGACACGCATGGCTTACAGAGGAAGAATTCTGTTCCACTTCCCCATGGAGATAAGAGGAAATAAACAAGAACAAGAATTAGAAAGAAAATAGAAGAAAACCCAGAGGGGTGTGTATATATATGCTTGTACATGTATGTTTAGTGTGACCTAAGTGTAAGTAGAAGTAGCAAGACTTACCTGTAATCTTGCATATTTATGAGACAGACAAAAGACACCAGCAATCCTACCATCATGTAAAACAATTACAGGCTTTCGTTTTACACTCACTTGGCAGGACGGTAGTACCTCCCTGGGCGGTTGCTGTCTACCAACCTACTACCTACTGAAACATATATGTGAACAGTATTTAGATAAAGGTAGGGAAGTTTTTATTGCATTTATGGATTTAGAAAAGGCATATGATAGAGTGGATAGAGGAGCAATGTGGCAGATGTTGCAAGTATATGGAATAGGTGGTAAGTTACTAAATGCTGTAAAGAGCTTTTATGAGGATAGTGAGGCTCAGGTTAGGGTGTGTAGAAGAGAGGGAGAATACTTCCTGGTAAAAGTAGGTCTTAGACAGGGATGTGTAATGTCACCATGGTTGTTTAATATATTTATAGATGGGGTTGTAAAAGAAGTAAATGCTAGGGTGTTCGGGAGAGGGGTGGGATTAAATTATGGGGAATCAAATTCAAAATGGGAATTGACACAGTTACTTTTTGCTGATGATACTGTGCTTATGGGAGATTCTAAAGAAAAATTACAAAGGTTAGTGGATGAGTTGAGAATGTGTGTAAAGGTAGAAAGTTGAAAGTGAACATAGAAAAGAGTAAGGTGATGAGGGTATCAAATGATTTAGATAAAGAAAAATTGGATATCAAATTGGGGAGGAGTATGGAAGAAGTGAATGTTTTCAGATACTTGGGAGTTGACGTGTCGGCGGATGGATTTATGAAGGATGAGGTTAATCATAGAATTGATGAGGGAAAAAAGGTGAGTGGTGCGTTGAGGTATATGTGGAGTCAAAAAACGTTATCTATGGAGGCAAAGAAGGGAATGTTTGAAAGTATAGTAGTACCAACACTCTTATATGGATGTGAAGCTTGGGTGGTAAATGCAGCAGCGAGGAGACGGTTGGAGGCAGTGGAGATGTCCTGTCTAAGGGCAATGTGTGGTGTAAATATTATGCAGAAAATTCGGAGTGTGGAAATTAGGAGAAGGTGTGGAGTTAATAAAAGCATTAGTCAGAGGGCAGAAGAGGGGTTGTTGAGGTGGTTTGGTCATTTAGAGAGAATGGATCAAAGTAGAATGACATGGAAAGCATATAAATCTATAGGGGAAGGAAAGAGGGGTAGGGGTCGTCCTCGAAAGGGTTGGAAAGAGGGGGTAAAGGAGGTTTTGTGGGTGAGGGGCTTGGACTTCCAGCAAGCGTGCGTGAGCGTGTTAGATAGGAGTGAATGGAGACGAATGATACTTGGGACCTGACGATCTGTTGGAGTGTGAGCAGGGTAATATTTAGTGAAGGGATTCAGGGAAACCGGTTATTTTCATATAGTCGGACTTGAGTCCTGGAAATGGGAAGTACAATGCCTGCACTTTAAAGGAGGGGTTTGGGATATTGGCAGTTTGGAGGGATATGTTGTGTATCTCTATACATATATGCTTCTAAACTGTTGTATTCTGAGCACCTCTGCAAAAGCAGTGATAATGTGTGAGTGTGGTGAAAGTGTTGAATGATGATGAAAGTATTTTCTTTTTGGGGATTTTCTTTCTTTTTTTTGGGGTCGCCCTGCCTCGGTGGGAGACGGCCGACTTGTTGAAAAAAAAAAAAAAAAAAAGGTGTGAGAAATTGCAACAATCCCTACCCGAAGATGTGAGAAATATTACAACAAAGAAAGACATTTTCAAGAGAGAGATGGAAAAAAAAAAAAGATGTGAGAAATATTACAACAAAGAAAGACATTTTCAAGAGAGAGATGGAAAAAAAAAAAAGTAATTGGAAATTTTATTCAGGCAAGTTTTGACTGTATTATTGGTATGTCTGTGACAAGACAGTGATGGAGCGAGTGATGATGAAAGTGTTTCTTCTTTTTCGGGTCACCCTGCCTCAGAGGGAAAATGGCTGGTGTTAAAAATATTTTTTTTCTGACTGAACAGGCTTTTTTTTAATAAAAAAATAAACTGTTGTTTTTATATCTTTATCAGCTACAATTCAGCAGTATTCCCATATTGTTTACTTTTACAGGAACATAGACCAATACCTGTAAGCAGTGAAAGATCAGCTAGGTTGTGGAAGTTATGGAGTCTGGTTGACCATATAGTATTAAATTATAGTCTTGGATTGGATTTTGAGAGTAGAACACCTCTCAAAACCAGTCACACGTAGTAAGTGATTGTTCAATTTCTATTTATGATTGTGAAGCGCATGTGAGATAAAAAAAATGAGTCAATGCAAGAGAGAGAAACAATCTAAGCATACGTATTATAAAAATACATTGAGTAAAGAATAATACTATGATTGTATCTATGTGCTTCTGGGAATACAGTGACACTGTGAATGATGATGAAAGTGTTTCTTTTTTGGGTTACCCTGCCTCAGTGGCAGGCAGCCAGTGAATTAAAAAAAAAAAAAAATACTATGGAAAGACATGAAGTGTGAAACATATAGCAGATACAACTGAAATATTTAGAAAAAACAAAAAAAGGCACAATACCGTGACTGGAATGATACACAAATAACCAGCACGTAGGAGAGAGGAGCCTACGGCAATGTTTCGGTCTGACTCAGACTATTTACAAAATCACACTGTAAATGGTCAGAGTCAAACCGAAACATCGTCGTAACCTCCTCTCTTACGTGCAGGTTATTTGTGTTTCGAAATGTTTACTACAATGATATGTTAAGGGTGAATGAAGTAAATAAATAAACCTGAAGGTAGGAGGATGAGAGGAAGGTTTAAGAATGTGGGAAAAAATGGTGAGTGAAAAATTATACAATCATGGTATTTGTTTGAATAATGCTTGAACGCCGGAAGTGGTAATGAACGTGACTGAGATGTAGACATTTGTTATACATAAAGTAATGACTGACAATTAATATAAGCAGTACACTGTTTATTAATATAAACACTTCGTATTAGCCAAATAAATAACAAAGCTACTAGTTAGGATATTTTTTCAGCAGAGTGAACCAGTTTGCCATGATATTAGTAGGTTTATGTACTATCACTATGGGTTGATATCATTATTTTTAATCCCTCTTTTTCTATAATACTGTTCCAGAATTTCTGTATGAGTCTCTCCTCACAGCCTAGAAAAAATGAGATAATGATACACAATAGTAAGACTGTGACCACTTGGTCACTAATGTTTAAATCTTGAGTGTGCTGATGCCAAGAGTCAAGAAGCATGGATAAGCTTGTTATTATTGGTTATAATTAAAGCCATTTTATCTTGCAACTTTCAATTCTTCAATATAATAATATAGAGTGAATACTAATGCAAGCTTATACATTGTACAGATACAAAAAATATCTGAGGCACAGCATGGAAAAAAGAATAAGTGCCCAATTCCAAAAATGGAGAAAAATGGAGAGATCGGAGTGATGAAGCTCAAGTTACCATAGTTTGTTATGGTGGTCTGAAGCAGAAGACAATATCTACACATTCCTGCAAATAGACAAAATACTAAGGAATTGATTTGCTTACTGACCCAGATTTTGGTGGTGTACTTGAAGGATGCCTGAAGGTTTCAGGGGTCAACACCCTGTGGCCTGGTCCATGATCAGGCAGTACTTTTTTTATGCCACGCAATGCCTCATACTAAAATATCATTATGTTAAGCATTAAGTCTATCAATCTGGGAAATTGCCATAGTTTACATATACCTGAATCACTGAGGATGGTCAAATGGTTGATATTTCAAGGTTTTGTTACAGACATTCAAAGCTTCTAATTTTTTATGGGACTAACTGCAAACACTCAACAATTTAGGCAACACTTTTGAATATGCAACAATAGATAAATGAAGAATCTTTCAGATGACATCTGCAGTTCCATAAGACAAAAGAAACTAATAAATAAATATGTATTTTATAGCAAAATGTGAAGAAGAGGCACACTTCCTTATACCTATTTTCAAGTTTTCCACTCTATTTACTTGGATGAAGTTATGAGGTTCCATTGAACTCCATGGTATTGTCTTGGATCACTTTACCTGAAGGAAGTTTTAGGTTCCAACAGCTTTGCAGTGCAGTCTTGAACAAGGTTACAAAAGCTAGAAAACAAACTTACCTCTCCTCAAGCTTCAACTTGAACACCAGCACGATAACGAAGTGAATACCCAGCACCACAAACACCTTCCAAGTGTACGCCAGAGTGAAAAGCGTACATGCTATTGCCCTCGATACGACCTGTAAGTATAAATGATATTATTAGTTCCTTCCTGGTAAAAAAAATTTGTTACAGAATTTACTTTTTTTTATTCAACAAGTCGGTTGTTGCCCACCAAGGCAGGGTGACCCAAAAAGAAAGAAAATCCCCAAAAAGAAAATACTTTCATCATCATTCAACACTCACCTCGTGCATATTCATTGTCTTTGCAGAGACAGCCAGATACAACAGTTTAGAAGTACAGTGGACCCCCGGTTAACGAACTTTTTTCATTCCAGTAGTATGTTCAGGTGCCAGTACTGACCGAATTTTTTCCCATAAGGAATATTGTGAAGTAGATTAGTCCATTTCAGACCCCCAAACATACACGTACAAACGCACTTACATAAATACACTTACATAATTGGTCGCATTTGGAGGTGATCGTTAAGCGGGGGTCCACTGTATATATAAAGAATTATTTTTAATACAATATATCCCTGCAAAATGGAACAGTACACAAATAACCCACACACAGGAGAACGAAACTTATAACAATGTTTTGGTCTGATTTAGACCAATTAATGGTACAAGTCACACCGAAATGTTGTCAAAAGTTTCGTTCTCCTATATGCGGGTTATTTGTGTACAGCATTTATATGTACTGAAGTACATTAAAAAATACCCCAGGAGAAGAAAAAATATACCACATACAGAGAACCCCCAGTTAACCTAGATAGAGACCAAAGACGTAAGTAGTTAAACGAAAATATATTAAGAGAATCACATTTTCCCATAGAAATGCACATTACAACTTGAAATGTACACTGGAATGGTAATATTCCACATCAGTTCCCATAAATTTTGTTTTCAGTAATGAATTTACTAGGGATGTGTCAGTCCATTGTTTAGTTAAGGCACAGTGATGTTATACCACAGTTTATGAGTACATAAAACAATATTGAAAATTACAGATGGTCTGACAGTGTGTTGTCATTTTATAAACTGTACCTCTCACCACTCCTCCCTCCCTTCCTTCCTTCACCATAGATGGATCCATTGTTTAGCAAAGGTTTATTGGTATTATATACTGTACCTCCCTCCACTCTTCCTCCCTTCCTTCACCACAGGTGAAATCACTGTTTAGTAGTGCTTTATTGGTATTATATACTGTACCTCTCTCCACTCCTTCCTCCCTTCCTTCACCACAGATGGATTCATTGTTTAGTAGTGCTTTATTGGTATTATACCCCTCTGTTTCATGAGTGCATAAAAAAACTGTGAAAAACTATCAAAATATAGAGAGAAGTTTCACATCATTTTTTTTATCACTGTTGGACAGAAGGGTTGTGATAACTTCTAGACCAACAATTTTTTTTCTTTTTTTACAAGTCGGCCATCTCCCACCGAGGTAGGGTGACCCAAAAAGAAAGAAAATCTCCAAAAAGAAAATACTTTCATCATCATTCAACACTTTCACCTCACTCACACATAATCACTGTTTTTGCAGAGGTGCTCAGAACACAACAGCTTAGAAGCATATACGTATAAAGATATACAACATATCCCTCCAAACCGTCAATATTCCATAACCCCTCCTTTAGAGTGCAGGCACTGTACTTCCCATTTCCAGGACTCATATAAAAATAAACCGGTTTCCCTGAATCCCTTCACTAAATATTACCCTGCTCACACTCCAACAGATCGTCAGGTCCCAAATACCATTTGTCTCTATTTACTCCTATCGACACGCTCACGCACGCCTGCTGGAAGTCCAAGCCCCTCGCCCACAAAACCTCCTTTATCCCTTCCTTCCAACCTTTTCGAGGATGACCCCTACCCCTCCTTCCTTCCCCTACAGATTTATACACTCTCCATGTCATTCTACTTTGATCCATTCTCTCTAAATGACCAAACCACCTCAACAACCCCTCTTCAGCCCTCTGACTAATACTTTTAGTAACTCCACACCTTCTCCTAATTTCCACACCCCGAATTTTCTGCATAATATTTACACCACACATTGGCCCTTAGACAGGACATCTCCACTGCCTCCAACCGCCTCCTCGCTGCTGCATTCACAACCATGCTTCACACCCATATAAGAGTGTTGGTACTACTATACTTTCATACATTCCCTTCTTTGCCTCCATAAATAATGATTTTTGTCTCCACATATACCTCAATGCACCACTCACCTTTTTTTCCTCATCAATTCTATGATTAACCTCATCCTTCATAAATCCATCCGCTGACACGTCAACTCCCAAGTATCTGAAAACATTCACTTCTTCCATACTCCTCCTCCCCAATTTGATATCCAATTTTTCTTTATCTAAATCATTTGATACCCTCATCACCTTACTCTTTTCTATTTTCACATTCAACTTTCTACCTTTACACACATTCCCAAACTCATCCACTAACCTTTGCAATTTTTCTTTAGAATCTCCCATAAGCACAGTATCATCAGCAAAAAGCAACTGTGTCAATTCCCATTTTGTATTTAAATCCCCATAATTTAATTCCACCCCTCTCTCGAACACCCTAGCATTTACTTCTTTTACAACCCCATCTATAAATATATTAAACAACCATGGAGACATTACACATCCCTGTCTAAGATCTACTTTTACCGGGAAGTAGTCTCCCTCTCTTCTACACACCCTAACCTGAGCCTCACTATCCTCATAAAAACTCTTTACAGCATTTAGTAATTTACCACATATTCCATATACTTGCAACATCTGCCACATTGCTCCCCTATCCACTCTATCATGTGCCTTTTCTAAATCCATAAATGCAATGAAAACTTCCCTACCTTTATCTAAATACTGTTCACATACATGTTTCAATGTAAACACTTGTTCTACACATCCCCTACCCACTCTGAAACCTCCTTGCTCATCTGCCATCCTACATTCTATCTTACCTCTAATTCTTTTAATAATAACACTACCATACACTTTTCCTGGTATACTCAGTAAACTTATTCCTCTATAATTTTTACAATCTCTTTTATCCCCCTTCCCTTTATATAAAGGGAATATACATGCTCTCTGCCAATCCCTAGGTACCTCCCCCTCTTACATACATTTATTAAACAAAAATACCAACCACTCCAACACTATATCCCCCCATGCTTTTAACATTTCTGTCATGATCTCATCAGTTCCAGCTCCTTTACCCCCTTTCATTCTACATAATGCCTCACGCACCTCCCCCACACACACATCCTGCTCTTCACTCCTAAAAGATGGTATACCTCCCTGGCCAGTGCATGAAATTACCGTTTCCCTTTCTTCGTCGACATTTAAAAGTTCCTCAAAATATTCTCGCCATCTACTCAAAACCTCCATCTTCCCATCTACTAACTCCCCTACTCTGTTTTTGACTGACAAATCCATTCGTTCTCTAGGCTTTCTTAACTTGTTTAACTCACTCCAAAATTATTTCTTATTTTCATTAAAATTCCTTGACAGTGCCTCTCCCACTCTATCATCTGCTCTCCTTTTGCACTCTCTCACCACTCTCTTCACCTTTTTTTTACTCTCCATATACTCTATTCTTCTTTATAACACTTCTGCTTTGTAAAAACCTCTCATAAGCTATGACATCACTCCACTCTCAGAACATGACTCGACCGTTTCCCCTGATCTGATAAGCAATTTGTGTATATTGTGGTAGGGGACCTGAATGCTAAAGTAGGAGAAACTTTTAGAGAGGGTGTGGTAGGTAAGTTTGGGGTGCCAGGTGTAAATGATAATGGGAGCCCTTTGATTGAACTTTGTATAGAAAGAGGTTTAGTTATAGGTAATACATATTTTAAGAAAAAGAGGATAAATAAGTATACAAGATATGATGTAGGGCGAAATGACAGTAGTTTGTTGGATTATGTATTGGTAGATAAAAGACTGTTGAGTAGACTTCAGGATGTACATGTTTATAGAGGGGCCACAGATATATCAGATCACTTTCTAGTTGTAGCTACACTGAGAGTAAAAGGTAGATGGGATACAAGGGGAATAGAAGCATCAGGGAAGAGAGAGGTGAAGGTTTATAAACTAAAAGAGGAGGCAGTTAGGGTAAGATATAAACAGCTATTGGAGGATAGATGGGCTAATGAGAGTATAGGCAATGGGGTCGAAGAGGTATGGGGTAGGTTTAAAAATGTAGTGTTAGAGTGTTCAGCAGAAGTTTATGGTTACAGGAAAGTGGGTGCGGGAGGGAAGAGGAGCGATTGGTGGAATGATGATGTAAAGAGAGTAGTATGGGAGAAAAAGTTAGCATATGAGAAGTTTTTACAAAGTAGAAGTGATGCAAGGAGGGAAGAGTATATGGAGAAAAAGAGAGAGGTTAAGAGAGTGGTGAAGCAATGTAAAAAGAGAGCAAATGAGAGAGTGGGTGAGATGTTATCAACAAATTTTGTTGAAAATAAGAAAAAGTTTTGGAGTGAGATCAACAAGTTAAGAAAGCCTAGAGAACAAATGGATTTGTCAGTTAAAAATAGGAGAGGAGAGTTATTAAATGGAGAGTTAGAGGTATTGGGAAGATGGAGGGAATATTTTGAGGAATTGTTAAATGTTGATGAAGATAGGGAAGCTGTGATTTGTGTATAGGGCAAGGAGGAATAACATCTTGTAGGAGTGAGGAAGAGCCAGTTGTGAGTGTGGGGGAAGTTCGTGAGGCAGTAGGTAGAATGAAAGGGGGTAAGGCAGCCGGGATTGATGGGATAAAGATAGAAATGTTAAAAGCAGGTGGGGATATAGTTTTGGAGTGGTTGGTGCAATTATTTAATAAATGTATTGAAGAGGGTAAGGTACCTAGGGATTGGCAGAGAGCATGCATAGTTCCTTTGTATAAAGGGAAAGGGGATAAAAGAGAGTGCAAAAATTATAGGGGATAAGTCTGCTGAGTATACCTGGTAAAGTGTATGGTAGAGTTATTATTGAAAGAATTAAGAGTAAGACGGAGAATAGGATAGCAGATGAACAAGGAGGCTTTAGGAAAGGTAGGGGGTGTGTGGATCAGGTGTTTACAGTGAAACATATAAGTGAACAGTATTTAGATAAGGCTAAAGAGGTCTTTGTGGCATTTATGGATTTGGAAAAGGCGTATGACAGGGTGGATAGGGGGGCAATGTGGCAGATGTTGCAAGTGTATGATGTAGGAGGTAGGTTACTGAAAGCAGTGAAGAGTTTTGACGAGGATAGTGAGGCTCAAGTTAGAGTATGTAGGAAAGAGGGAAATTATTTCCCAGTAAAAGTAGGCCTTAGACAAGGATGTGTGATGTCACCGTGGTTGTTTAATATATTTATAGATGGGGTTGTAAGAGAAGTAAATGCGAGGGTCTTGACAAGAGGCGTGGAGTTAAAAGATAAAGAATCACACACAAAGTGGGAGTTGTCACAGCTGCTCTTTGCTGATGACACTGTGCTCTTGGGAGATTCTGAAGAGAAGTTGCAGAGATTGGTGGATGAATTTGGTAGGGTGTGCAAAAGAAGAAAATTAAAGGTGAATACAGGAAAGAGTAAGGTTATGAGGATAACAAAAAGATTAGGTGATGAAAGATTGAATATCAGATTGGAGGGAGAGATGTGGAGGAGGTGAATGTATTCAGATATTTGGGAGTGGACGTGTCAGCGGATGGGTCTATGAAAGATGAGGTGAATCATAGAATTGATGAGGGAAAAAGAGTGAGTGGTGCACTTAGGAGTCTGTGGAGACAAAGAACTTTGTCCTTGGAGGCAAAGAGGGGAATGTATGAGAGTATAGTTTTACCAACGCTCTTATATGGGTGTGAAGCATGGGTGATGAATGTTGCAGCGAGGAGAAGGCTGGAGGCAGTGGAGATGTCATGTCTGAGGGCAATGTGTGGTGTGAATATAATGCAGAGAATTCGTAGTTTGGAAGTTAGGAGGAGGTGCGGGATTACCAAAACTGTTGTCCAGAGGGCTGAGGAAGGGTTGTTGAGGTGGTTCGGACATGTAGAGAGAATGGAGCGAAACAGAATGACTTCAAGAGTGTATCAGTCTGTAGTGGAAGGAAGGCGGGGTAGGGGTCGGCCTAGGAAAAGTTGGAGGGAGGGGGGTAAAGGAGGTTTTGTGTGCGAGGGGCTTGGACTTCCAGCAGGCATGCGTGAGCGTGTTTGATAGGAGTGAATGGAGACAAATGGTTTTTAATACTTGACGTGCTGTTGGAGTGTGAGCAAAGTAACATTTATGAAGGGGTTCAGGGAAACCGGCAGGCCGGACTTGAGTCCTGGAGATGGGAAGTACAGTGCATGCACTCTGAAGGAGGGGTGTTAATGTTGCAGTTTAAAAACTGTAGTGTAAAGCACCCTTCTGGCAAGACAGTGATGGAGTGAATGATGGTGAAAGTTTTTCTTTTTCGGGCCACCCTGCCTTGGTGGGAATCGGCCAGTGTGATAATAAAAAAAAAAATATTTTTAATGAACTGGCCATCTCCCACCGAGGCAAGAAGACCTAAAAAGAAAAATGAAAGTTTTTTTTTTTATATTTAGTAATTTACACAGGAGTTACTAGCCCCATGCTCCAGCAATTTAGTCGCTTCTTATGGCACACATGGTTTATGGAGGAAGGATTCTTGTCCTCTTCCCCATGGAAATGAAAGGTAATAAAGAAGAACTATTAAGAAAATAGAAGAAAACCCAGATGGGTGTGTAAATATATGTGTGTACAGTACATGCATGTGTAGTGTGACCTAAAGGTAAGTAGAAGTAGCAAGATATACCTGTTATCCTGTGTTTATGAAACAGAAAAAGACACCAGGAATCCTACCATCATGTAAAACAATTACAGGTTTCTGTCTCACACATTTGGCAGTAGTACTTCCCTGGGTGGTTGCTGTCTACCAACCTATTACCTATATATTTTTTTTTTGTTAACACACTGGCCATATTCCACTGAGGCAGGGTGACCTAAAAGAAAAATGAAAGTTTCTCTTTTCAATTTAGTAATGTATAGAGGAAAAGGGGTTACTAGCTCCTTGCTCCTGGCATTTTAATGAACTCTCATGACACACACGGCTTATAGAGGAAGAATTCTGTTCCACTTTCCCATGGAGAAAATTCACAGTTATCCACAATAATGCAAAATCCACTGCTATTCACATTAGCCTAGTAGGGCTACAGCTATGCACATGAGCCCAGTAGGGCTACAGCTATGCACATCAGCTCAGTAGGGTCACAGCTATGCATATAAGTCATGCAGGGCAACATTAACCCTTTTCACACACTTGCATATCAAGAAACAGCAAACAGACTAAGGAAATTTTTTTTTATTTTGACTTCTATAGCCAATTTAAAATTGGCCTCTTTTTGAGGTACCAAAAACATAAGCCTATTTTTTCCAATACGTTCTTTACTCCAGTTAATGCTAGTGTGAACAAAATGCTGATTTTTCAGGAATGTAACCTATATATTAATCTGGGTTCTACTGTATATACAGTATTTCCAGGTTGAATTTCACAAAAAACACTAATAATAATGGTAACCTCTCAATATAACCTCCATAAAACTAGAAAGACTTAAATCACACTATTTTTTCATTGGTCAACATGAGAGTATAATGAGAAGGAAGGGAAGGGAGAAGGAAGGATAATGACAAAATAATGAAAATAAGATATGGGGTAACTAGTGGGGAAAAGAGAAAAAGATGAGTGGCTTACAGATCTTGGTCAAGAGTAAAGAATATTTTATTTAATCAATTGAATGAAGAGTTCAGTTCCAAGGGTAGCTAACTGAATGTCACTCTGCTACAGAGAATCACTCTGGGGTAGGCTCATTCTACAGTTAGATCACTTCTCATCTAATAAGTAATCTGTTTACCTCCTAATGAGTACCTGCATTTCCTTTTTTCTCTGATGGCACAAGCCTCCATCTTCATTCATCTGCCTTTCTTTGTTCCATTATTATTTTGTGGACATTCAACCCTGTTCTTTCAGCTAAGATGACAGCAATCACCATTCCTGTTGCTTACCATGTTGACTTTATTCAAGAAGGATAGCTTATTTACTGAAATGAGAAGGGTAACTTCAACTCCGTGCATCAAGAGCCCTTCACCAGTATCATGGCATCCCCTCGAAGGGAGACATTCAAAAAACAAAGAACATTCATACAAACCTGGAAGAATATGGCAAAAAGCAATGGCAGTGCATTGAGGATAGTGAGGCCGCCCAGTTTGGAAAAACGATGGTACGAGGTGAACGACCAGGTGAGAGAGACCAGTGATATGAGCACGGAGAACACTTGTTTGGACAACTGTGTATCTGTCCCACGAGGAGATAATGAGAGGATGGAGCCCAGGGTAACATCCTTCACCTGAGAATAGAGCAAATGTTAATACAAATATTAGCAACATGGACCTGGAGTAACCCACATGGAGACATACATAAAGGGACTGTATATTCAGCCTCTGAGATTCACTTCTGTTACAGGGCAAAATACACATCCTCCATCTTTACCTCTTTCAGTCATTTACATCTCCAAGTGGGATTCTTTGATTCAAGTGACCAGTGTTTATTACATGACAACTAATATTAACATATTTAATGTCTTACATTAATATAGGAGTCAGTAGCTTCTACAATAGAATTCTGAGCTTCCAAAATACAAACTTATCACACTCTTAATACAAACTGCTGATACTTTAAACTTTTTCAGATTTTTGGCTAAAGATCCATTACTTGAGAGTAAAAGAACTAAGTATCTTAGATTTTATTGTACCTTTCATATAATTAAAAAAAAATGTAATATATTAGAAAACTAAGAAATATGTGCTAAAAAGTGAATTTATTGCAATTACTTATAAAACAAATCTTAACTAAAAGAAAGGATCAATTGATGGTTTACAAAAGAAGTACAAGTATGTACTAGCAAAAGGTATGACTAAGAATTTTCATGGTATAAGAAGAAGTAGAAGATGAGGCAAACAGTTCTATTATAAGCCTAAATTCAGGAAATAATGAGAAACATTCAAAGCTCTTTGTGACTTGAATTTCTCAAATTCTTAAATCAAACAAAACATTTTGCTGGAAATCAATAAACATTTCAAAAGATGGAACAATATTAACCTCAGTTACTGAGATTTTAAAGAATTAAAAAAAAAACTCCATAATGTCAAGTCTAGCTAAGATTACAGTACAGTATAATAAAAACCTTTAACATGCATAAATTTTTTTTTTAACACACTGGCCATATCCCACCGAGGCAGGGTGGCCCAAAAAGAAAAATGATTCTCTTTTTAAATTTAGTAATTTATACAGGAGAAGGGGTTACTAGCCCCTTGCTCCTGGCATTTTAGTCGCCTCTTACAACACGCATGGCTTACGGAGGAAGAATTCTGTTCCACTTCCCCATGGAGATAACAGGAAATAAACAAGAACAAGAACTAGTAAGAAAATAGAAGAAAACCCAGAGAGGTGTGTGTGTGTGTGTGTGTGTGTGTGTGTGTGTGTGTGTGTGTGAGTGTGTGTGGTGTGTATATATATATATATATATATATATATAATATATATATATATATATTGTAGGTAGTAGGTAGGTAGACAGCAACCACCCAGGAAGGTACTACCGTCCTGCCAAGTGAGTGTAAAACGAAGCCTGTGATGTTTTACATGATGGTAGGATTGCTGATGTCTTTTGTCTGTCTCATAAACATACAAGATTACAGGTACGTCTTGCTACTTCTACTTACACTTAGGTCACACTACACATACATGTACACATTTATTTTATACACACTCATCTGAGTTTTCTTTGATTTTATCTTAATAGTTCTTGGTCTTATTAATTTTCCTTTTATATCCATGGGGAAGTGGAATAAGAATCTTTCCTCCGTAAGCCAGGGCGTGTTGTAAAAGTCAACTAAAATGCCGGGAACAATGGGCTAGTAACCCCTTTTCCTGTAAAGATTACAAAAAAGAATAAGAAGAAGAAAATTGTCAAAGTGGGAAGTCTGAATGTGCGTGGATGTTGTGCAGATGATAAGAAAGAGATGATTGTGGATGTTATGAATGAGAAGAAGCTGGATGTCCTGGCTTTAAGTGAAACAAAGCTGAAGGGGGTGGGAGAGTTTCAGTGGAGAGGAATAAATGGGAATTAGGTCAGGGGTTTCAAATAGAGTTAGAGCTAAAGAAGGAGTAGCAATAATGTTGAAGGATAAGCTATGGCAGGAAAAGAGGGACTATAAATGTATTAATTCAAGGATTATGTGGAGTAAAATAAAGATTGGATGTGAAAAGTGGGTTATAATAAGCGTGTATGCACCTGGAGAAGAGAGAAGTGTAGAGGAGAGAGAAATTTTGGGAAAGTTGAGTGAATGCGTGGGGAGTTTTGAATCAAGTGTGAGAGTAATGGTGGTTGGGAATTTCAATGCTAAAGTGGGTAAAAATGTTATGGAAGGGAGTAGTAGGTAATTTTGGGGTGCCAGGGGTAAATGTAAATGGGGAGCCTTTAATTGAGCTATGTGTAGAAAGAAATTTGGTAATAAGTAATACATATTTTATGAAAAAGAGGATAAATAAATATACAAGGTATGATGTAGCACGTAATGAAAGTAGTTTATTAGATTATGTATTGGTGGATAAAAGGTTGATGGGTAGGCTCCAGGATGTACATGTTTATAGAGGGGCAACTGATATATCGATCATTATTTAGTTGTAGCTACAGTTAGAGTAAGAGGTAGATGGGAAAAGAGAAGGTGGCAACAACAAGTAAGAGGGAGGTGAAAGTGTATAAACTAAGGGAGGAGGAAGTTCGGGTGAGATATAAGCGACTATTGGCAGAAAGGTGGGCTAGTGCAAAGATGAGTAGTGGGGGGGTTGAAGAGGGTTGGAATAGTTTTAAAAATGCAGTATTAGGGAAAGTGGGCAGAAGTTTGTGGTTATAGGAGGGTGGGGCAGGAGGAAAGAGGAGTGATTGGTGGAATGAAGTAAAGGGTGTGATAAAAGAGAAAAAGGTAGCTTATGAGAGGTTTTTACAAAGCAGAAGTGTTATAAGAAGAACAGAGTATATGGAGAGTAAAAGAAAGGTAAAGAGAGTGGTGAGAGAGTGCAAAAGGAGAGCAGATGATAGAGGGGGAGAGGCATTGTCAAGAAATTTTAATGAAAAAAAGAAAAAATTTTGGAGTGAGTTAAACAAGTTAAAAAAGCCGGGGAAAATAGGGATTTTGTCATTTTAAAAACAAGTAGGGGGTTAGTAGAGGGGAGAGGAGGTATTGGGTAGAGGGCAGAATATTTTTGGGGATTTTAAAGTTAAGGAAAAACAAGGCATAATTTCATGCAGGTCAGGGAGGTATCCCTCTTTTGGGATGAAGAAAGCAGAATGTAAGGTGGGGGGGGGGTAGTAGGCATTACAAAAAATGAAAGGGGGTAAAGCAGTGGAACTGATGGGTCCATGACAGAAAGTTTAAAAGCAGGGGGGGATATAGTGTTGGAGGGGTTGGGTACTTTTGTTTAATAAATGAGAAAAGGGGGAAGGTCCCTGGGGACGGGGCAGAAGGCGTATAGTCCTTTATAAAAGGGGAAAAGGGGGAAAAAAAGGACTGAAAAAATTATAAGAATAAGTTACTGAGAAACCCGGGAAAAGTGTACGGTGGTTATAATTGAAAAAATTTGGGGTAAACAGGTAGGATTGCGGATGAGCAAGGGGGTTTTAGAGGGGGTGGGGGGTGGTGATGGTGTTTCATTGAACATAATTTAACATTTTTTTAAATAAAGATAGGGAATTTTTTTATTGATTTATGGATTAGAAAAGGCAAAAGATAGAGGGGATGAGGAGCAATGTGGCAGATGTTGCAAGTAATTGAATAGGGGGTAAGTTTTTTAAAATGCTGTAAAATTTTTATGAGTTAGTGAGGCTCATTTGGGGTGTGTAGAAAGAGGGAGTATTTTCCGGGGAAAAAGTAGGTCTTAGAAGGGATGTTTTAATGTCCCCAGGGTTGTTTAATATATTTATAGATGGGTTGAAAAGGAAGTAAATGCTGGGGTTTCAGGAGAGGGGTGGGATTAAATTAGGGGAATAAAATTTTCAAAAGGGGAATTGACACAGTTACTTTTTGCTGATTACTGTGCTTAGGGGAGATTCTAAAGAAAAATTGCAAAGGTATGGAGAGTTGGGAATGTTTAAAAGGGGGAAAGTTGAAAAGTGAACATAAAAAGATAAGGTGATGAGGGGTAAAATGATTTAATAAAGAAAAATTGGATATCAAATGGGGAGGGGGAAAATATGGAAGAAGTGAATGTTTTTCAGAACAGGGGAGTTGATGCGGGGGATAATTTATGAAGGATAGGTTAATCATAGAATTGATGAGGGAAAAAAGGTGAGTGGTGGTTGAGGTATATGGGGATAAAAAAACGTTATCTAGGGAGGCAAAAAGGGAAGTATGAAAGTTTTGTAGTACCAACACTTTTATAGGGTGTGAAGCTTGGGTGGTAAATGCAGCAGAAAGGAGAGGGTTTGGAGGCAGTGGAGATGTCCTGTTTAAGGGCAATTTGGGGTAAAATATTATGCAGAAAATTCGGAGGGGAAAAATTAGGAGAAGGTGTGGAGTTAATAAAAGTATTAGTCAAGGGAAAAAGGGGTTGTTGAGGGATTTGGTCATTTAAGAGAAGGGAAAAAGTAGAATGACAGGGAAAGCATATAAATCTATGGGGGAAAAGGGGGGGGAAGGGGCGGGGTTTTAAGGGGGGGTTTTTTTTCCTTTTTCCGAAAAGGGGGTTTGGGGGAAAAAAAAGGTAGGGGTAAAGGGGGGGGGTTTTTGTGGGGAAGGGGGGCTTGGGTTTTTCCAAAGGGCAACCCTCCCGGGGGTTTTGGAAGGCGTTTGGGGGGATAGGGGAAAGTGAAAATGGAAAACCCGAAAAAGGAAAACTTGGGTGATTTAAGTTTTTTTCTTTTTTTTTTTTTTTTTGGGAGGGGGGAGAGGGCCAAAAAAAAAAAAAAAAAAAAAAAAAAAAATATTAAAACCAAAATTATTTAAAAAAATTTTTAATTATTAAATAATTTATTATTTAAATATTTTTAATTATTTTAAAATTTTGGGTGTTCAAATTAAAAGGGGGGGGTTTAAGGATTTTGGGGGAAATTTGGATTTCCGCAACGTGTAGCGGTTGATAAAAAGTGAAGGGAGAGAAGGGTACTTTATCTTTTTTTTTTGGGAAGTTTAGCGGGAATTTTAAAAAAAATTATTTTATAATTATTATTTAAAATAAATAAATTATTTAAGTATTTATATTATTTAAAAATTTTTTTTTTTTTATAGGGATCCAAAAGTTGGAAAACCTCTCAAAACAATAATGTGCGAGGTTTTTAAAGTTTAAAAA